TGTCACCCAGGCTGGAGTGCAGTGGTGCCATCATAACTCAATGCTGCCTGAAACTCTGGACTTAAGCCATCCTCCTGCCTCAGCACCCAAAGTAGCTAGAACTACAGGCACACGCCACCATGCCCAGCTAATTTTGTTATGGTTTGTAAAGATGGGGTCTTGTTTTGTTGCTCAGACTGGTCTCAAATTCCTGACCTCAAGTGATCCTCTCATCTCAGCTTCCAAAAGCCACCACACATGGCCATTTCTTTTAACTTCCTGAAATACATCTGGTACATACGCTCATTAGGGACAACATATTTAGATCACTCTCCAAAATGCAGCAGTGTTACCACTTACTACAATGTAGGCAAGTAGTCTAATGTAGCATAAAATGAGAGATGAAGAGAGTAAGTGGAAAGATGTCAGCTTAAACATAAGAATAAGAGGAAAGAGAGAAGGAAACAGACCTGAAGACTGCTATATCGTGCATAAAACCAGCAAGCTATTTAACTGGAAAAAGAAAATTTTCTCAGAAAAGCTATCTTATTCTGTTATTTTTAATAACATTACTGAATTTATCATTTCTTTTTTCATGGACAAGAAACTGTAGCTTCCTAAAAGGAAAGTAACTATTCAATTGGTCTCTTAAAACTATAACCTTACTTAAAACATAAGTTTTTTAAAATCTTGAATTGCTAAAATTCCACTTACATGGTATATTCTATATGTAAATTCCCTTATGTGGTATATATTGTATGTATTACTTACTAGCCACATGAAAATGGCCTATTTTGAGATATAAACATTACTGACCTAATGTTTGTCAAAAGAGGGCAGCAGATGCAGCTGCCACCAACTCACGACTCAGGGGCTCATTTCTGAAAAAGAAAATGAAAACCAAATGAGAAAGAAAGAAAGAGAGATTGATTATTATGCCATTAGTTTAGTGAAAAGTAAAATGATTTTGGGGGGAAAATTTTCTGTTGATCAAAAAAGTATCATTCAATTCAATTTCTGACAAAAGCAAGAATTCTCAACTATTAGGTACCAGTTTTAAATAAACTTTGAAATGTTAACACAGAGCAATATATTAATGTGGAGGGATGAGGGATCAGCCTCAAAAGTTATAAATTAGTGGCATTTTCAACTAGATGCTATCACATTTCAAAAACAATACATATTACAAGCAAATATTAAGGCAGCTTAACCTGTTCACAGCTTTACTCATAAGAGCCCCAAACTGTAACAAACCTAAGGTCTATTATTAGAAAGAAAAAACTAATTGTGAAGTATCCAAACAATGGAAGAGTACTCAGCTCATGCCAACATGAATGACTCTCATACACATTAGATCAAGCGAAAGAAGTTGGACACAGAATATATTCCGTATGATTCCATTTCTATCAAGTTCTAGAACAGGCAAAACTAATCTGAGGTGAAAAAACAAAGCAGCAATTGCCTCAGGACTGAAGGCTACTGACTGGGAAGGTGAAAACGGGAAACACAGTGTCTTGGTTAAGTGTGTGGGTCACATGGGCTTATCCATTTATCAAAATCCTCCAGCCACCATGCGGTGAGGAAGCCCAGGCCACAAAGAAAGCCACATGTAGGTGTTTCTGCTAACACCCTCAGCTAAGGTCTCAGCTGACAGCGGCATCAACTGCCAGACCTGAGTGAGCAAACTTCAGATGCTTCCAGCCTCAGACTACTAAGTCTTCCAACTGAGGCCCCAGATATCACAGAGCACAGACTGGCCTTCCCCACTGTGTTCCAGCTAAATTGCTAACCCACAGAATCTGAGAGCATAATGACTGAATGTTTTATGCCACTAAGTTTGGGAGGTAGTATAACCATGATAACCATATCAATGGGGATTTAATATACGATACAAAGAAAGAAAAGCAGGCTGTGCATGAAGCTATGATGACAGTGCCTCATGAAGCAAAGATCATGACTAATCTAATTCCATGCACCCTGGAGTCCTTGAAAAGCGGGAAGGGGAGGCAAAAATCATTAAAAGACACCTTCTAAGAACTCGAAACAAATGCATCTCATTCACCAATCTTTTGATGTAGGACCAAAGCCTCTTTTTGAAACACAGGACCACTGATAAAAAGTTCTAAGACATTTCTTTTATATATATCACACCCATCCTGCAATATTTTCAATTTTGGTTTAAGTGGAAAAGTGGAGCAAGAAAGTAAGAAAGCTTACAAAGCAATCTAAGGGTATGATGCTCCTGTGTATGTGTATTTGTCTCACTCGTGCCTAATTGGAAAGAAATTTTTTACATGACTTTTACTGACTCTTTCCAAAGCATTCAACTCACTTCACCATTTCTGTAGCAGTTAATTAAATTATAATAAAGGGCATCAGGGGTCATAAACAGGTCTGGGAACCTTAAAAATGCCATTCTTGATAAGTATTTATATATGTTTGCGTGTGTTATTTACTTCCATATACTTATATAACTGTTTTGTTTCTAAAGGAGTAGGAGGAGAAGGAAGTACCTATTACAGGAGGGTAATGATTGTCTGAATTAGCTTACTCTACCACCCAATTATACTTTCCAGAGGTATTTTTGATACCATGTAGAAACCAAGAGGTTCCATTAAAATGTTAAACCATTCTGGGAAACAGAAGCCTCTATTATCTGTTTGTTCTGATAAGAGAAGTCAGTGATGGGTATCCTGAAGCCACACACCTCACTACTTGAATTAATGACATCACTGAAATACATCATTATGTATCACTAAAAAAAAATACTGCCATTTAACCTACAATACAATGCCAAGATACCACTGATTGCACTTAGAATTAAATGTAATACCCTTTTGACAAGCACAAGTAATTATAATGCTCTGAGGAAGCCAAGAAAGCTGAAAGCACTGACAGTTATTGGTGAAAGGAAGTCATATACAGCAGTTGTAATCAACATGATAAAACTTTATTCCAGAAAAAAACCTTTAAAATTGAAAATTTCAAATAAGCAAGTCCTTTACAGACACGAGGCTACCTTCAAATCAAGATGTAAATGACAGTGTTAATTAGCAGCTTAAAGAGGCAGTTAAGTGGCAGTTAATAACACCAATAAATATGTAAGAGTGTGGAATTCTCAATGAGATCACTTCTCTTTTCCTTTCACTGGATTGTGTACAGATATCCTCTTGTTATTTAAATATAATACAATCACAGCGTTTGTGAAACGCTGTCTCTACTAAAAACACAAAAAATTAGCCAGGCATGACAGTATGCGCCTGTAGTCCCAGCTACTCGGGAGGCTGAGGCAGGAGGATGGCATGAACCCCGAAGGCAGAGCTTCCAGTGAGTGGAGACTGCACCACTGCACTCCAGCCTGGGCGACAGAGCAAGACTCTGTCTCAAAAAAAAAAAAAAAAAAAAAAAATTAGTTTCAAACAACATTCAAATTACAATTAAATTTACCTCTTCTTTGGAGCATGTTCTGCAGCTCTTTGAGGCCCGCCAGTTGTAGCTTTTAAGTGGATTTCTGCTGGGTGGCTTTGTTGTTTGTACATTTACTGTGCTCGATTCAACTTTCGAGCCCTTAATAATGTCTAACAAGTCTTTTTTCCTGTTTTCCTTTACACTGTCTTGGTTCTCTGAAGTCTCCTTGGAAGTCTCAACAGTTCAGACCACTCAACTTTCTTGCTACAGATCACGCCGTTAGTGCCAAAATATCCCTGGATATTATTTTTTGTCCTGGAAAGATGCATTAAAGAAAAAAAAGAAAAATACAATGCAGGCTAATAAAGAAAAAAGTATGTGTCTAATTTTTTTTTTAATTCAAGCCCGTTCCATTTGCTTTTTATAATTATTGTTAACAACCATAGCAGCAGCAACTTACCATTTATTAGCATACACTACATGCCTCACCTTGTGCAATATGTTTTATGTACATTTCTCATACCCACATTAACTCCCTAAGGTCTCCATTTTGCAGATAAGGAAACTGAAAATGAGAGAAGTAACTTACCTAAGGTCATGCACCTCACAGCTCACTAAGGCCTAAGACACACTGGTGTGCCACAAGTAATTAGAGGTGTGCTGAGATATTGATCACCTGCTCCTTGGGGTGGCCAGGGGAGGCCTGGGGGTGCTGGTGCTCCTAAATTTGTTCCTTCCCACCATTTACCCAAGTTCGGTAGAAAAACTCCGACATGGTTGGCCGGGCGCGGTGGCTCACACCTGTAATCCCAGCAGTTTGGGAGGCTGAGACAGGCGGATCACGAGGTCAGGAGATCGAGACCATCCTGGCTAACACAATGAAACCCCGTCTCTACTAAAAATACAAAAAAATTAGCCGGGCATGGTGGTGGGCGCCTGTAGTCTCCACTGTTGGGTAGGCTGAGGCAGGATAATGGTGTGAACCCGGGAGGCGGAGCTTGCAGTAAGCCGAGATCATGCCACTGCACTCCAGCCTGGGTGACAGAGCAAGACTCCATCTCAAAAAGGAAAAAAAAAAAGAAGACCTCTGACACGGTTAATAAATGACAATTTATTATTCTCAAACCCAGATCTGACTGACTGCAAGTCCTTGATCTTAACACGCTATAACACCTCTTTTAAAAGTTATAATTAGGCTGGGTGCGGTGGCTCACGCCTGTGATCCCAACATTTTGGGAGGCCGAGGTGGGTGGATCATGAGGTCAGGAGTTTGAGACCAGCCTGGCCAACACAGTGAAACCCCATCTCTATTCAAAATACAAAAACTGAGCCAAGCGTGGTGGCATGTGCCTGTAATTCCCAGCTACTCAGGAAGCCGAGGCAGAAGAATCGCTTGAACCCGGAAGGCGGAGGTTGCAGTAAGCCTAGATCACGCCATTGCACTCCAGCCTGGGCAACAGTGTGAGATTTGTCTCAAAAAAAAAAAAAAAAGTTGTAATTAAATATGAAAATAATCAAAAAGATTACTTTCAAAAACTGAGTGGGTGTTATTTTAATCTGATCAACATTTTCATCAAGCCACATGCAACTTAACCCATAACCACTTGTAAGCGAAGCTAAAATGGAACAGAAAACAGAATAATCGATGGCTAGAAATGTCATTTTTGCTTTCTTCATTAGATACATTTATGAAAGAGAACACCACAAATGATTACGTCTATATTAGACTCATGCAAAAGATATCCTAATTCTAAGTAACCCATATATCCAATTTTATTCTGTGGGGTTAAAAATCTCTTTTGGTATTTGATTACTGAAGAACTTTAAACTCTGAATGTGTTGGTTTCAGTAAGAGTGTATATTTTAAAAATCATTCATTAAATATAGTGAATATCTACCCTGTGCTGGGCACTATACTAGGTACTGACAATATATTCGTAAATATGAATTTCATGTTCTCTACCTTTATGAAGCTGACGTACTACAGCACTGCTTCTCAAACTTTAATATGCATAGAAATTCTTATTATTTTTTGAGACAGGGTCTCGCTCTGTCACACAGGCTGGAGTGCAGTGGCGTGATCTTGGCTCACTGCAGCCTTGACCTCCCCAGGCTCCAGCGATCCTCCCACCTCAGCCTCCTGAGCAGCTGGGACTAATTTTCTGTAGACACAGGTTTCCCCATGTTGCCCAGGAACTCCTGGAATGTGCTCACCTAGAACTCCCACCACCCACCTAGGCCTCCCTAAGTGCTAGTATTACAGGCATGGGCCACTGTGCCTGGCCCATAGAAATTATCTATGCTCCTTGCTTAAAATACACATTCTTTGGTCCCACCAAACTATTCTGATTCAGTAGCTTTTTCCAGGAGACACTCGAGAATTTGCATTTCTAACAAGCTCCCAGGTGTTGCTAATGCTGCTGGTCAGGGGACTCCATTACAGTAGCTATGCTACCTATGTTACTTAATCCTTACAATCTTAAAGGACATGTTTTATTATTCTCATTTACAGAACAAACTGCTACCCCTAGACGTTAAGTCAGTGGTTATGAATCTCTAGAGGTTATACAAATCACATAGGCAGCTGACTTAAACCACAGATTCCTGAGATTCTTCGTCTGTTAAGTTTGGAATGGGGTTCTGGGATCTGCATTTTAACTAAGACCCAGGTGCTTCTGATGCAGGTGAGCTCAAGAGCCTGTATCAGACTTTGGGTTAAATACTATATCAAGTTCTTAAAGCTGGAAAATGGTAGCCACAGGCTAAGGATAGCTGCATGAAAGAGAAAATGCAATTTCAAAAAATGCTGAAACTATGTGATGTGCTTATGAAAACGTCAGAGGCTATCAAATCAGGCACTTTCAAATCAGAATGACAAAACAATTGCCAAACTAGTATCCTCATACTAAGTACACAGGACTCTCATAATACTCAATATATGATACAATCTAGGAAAAGAATTACTACTTTACATTTAAAGTTAATATTGGCCGGGTGTGGTGGCTCACACCTGTAATCCCAACACTTTGGGAGGCTGAGGTGGGTGGATCACCTGAGATCAGGCGTTCAAGACCAGCCAGGCCAACATGATGAAACTCCGTTTCCACTAAAAAATACGAAAATGAGCCGAGCGTGGTGGCATGCGCCTGTGTTTAAGATTGTAAGGATTAAGTAGGTAACATAGCTACTGTACTCGGGAGGATGAGGCACAAGAACCGCTTGAACCCAGGAGAAAGAGGTTGCAGTGAGCTGAGATCGTGCCACTGCACTCCAGCCGGGGCCACAGAGCAAGACTCTGTCTCAAAAATAAGTAACAATAATAATAATAATAATAATAATAATAACAACAATAATAAAGTTGGCTGGGGGCACTGGCTTTCGCCTGTAATCCCAGCACTTTGCGGGGCTGAGGCAGGCAGATCACCCGAGGTCGGGAGTTCGAGACCCATCTGACCAACATGGAGAAACCCCCATCGCCACTAAAAATACAAAATTAGCCAGGTGTGGTGGCGCATGCCTGTAGTCCCATTTATACAGGCAGGATAATCACTTGAACATGGGAGGCAGAGGGTTCGGTGAGTCGAGATCAGCCTGCGCAGTAAGAGTGAAACTCTGGCTCTAAATAAATAAATAAAGTTAATATTAAAGGTATTTTAACAGAAAGGTGGTAATCAGGGGAATGTAATGAATCTCACATATAATCTTGACTACAGTGTTTTCTTTCAAGACTGCTATCACACCACAGAAAGCAATCTACATTACAGGAAAATCATGTATTATATAACTCCGTAACACTAATATAATAAAATTCTAAACCTACCCTCCCACCTGAGTTTGTTTCCACTCACAGCATTTCATCAGTACTTCAAACGCAACACCTTCAAAACGACATTCAAGACGTCCCCTTTCAGACTGACTTTCCATTTTTCACACTTCTATATTAAAATGCCCTGTGACATAAACAGATTTTTTTTTGTTTTCTAAAAACTGTAACATAGGTAAAAATCTTTCTCAACCCCGGCTCTACATTCTTCTGCTAACATTAAGGATACCCTAATCCTCCAAAGCAGCCAGTTGAAATCTTTGCTCTCTGACCACCCTACCATTATCCCATGATGTCACATCCCCTTAATTCTACCTCTGCAATTTTTCTCTTCCATTCAGCTAGTCCTTCCCATCTTCACTGCTACCAACCTGCTTCAGCCCTGTACTTAACCAAACTGGCTTCTTAGTGTTATGCATGGAATTTACGCAGTGGAATTTAGGCTTTTACAATAATAAAGTTCTCGGAGGATAAATAGCAAAACCAAGTATGCCGCAACACCTTTTCTTTCCTGGCTAACTTCAACCAGTGGTCCTTCAGATTTCATCAGACTTTTCTTCCAGAAAGGATATCCTGAGTCGCCCCTGCAATGGTTAGGTGTCCCTATTTGCTCTTCCAGCAATTACTTGTTGGATGAACAGTGTACTCTCTGCTTCCGTACACTATCTCAGCAATTATTTCACTACACAGCACTTGAATTCTCTACTTGCTGGAACTACACGCTCCGTGATGACAAGGCTCTTATTCGGGGTTTATAACCACTACTGGCACGCTGTAAAGTTTCCCAATAACGAACTAAAGAATAAACGAAGGAAACAGAAATGAGACTATTAAATAAATCTTGGGAGGCAAAAGATAAAACAACTTCACTTTTGGAGCTTGGATAAACTGACAGGAGGTGATGACAAGAGGAATGAGGCACAGCGACCAGGCTTGTAAACGGAGCTCTGTTTTCCACGCCCGCTATAACCTTGGGCAAGTCATCTTACCTTTCTGGGATTTTTTTCTCAGACGTAAAGCAATAGCTTCTAAAACCCAGCAGGCAGTAACTTCGACCCTAGGAAGTCGGAGCATAACAATGTACAGGACGGGGCACGGGGATGCCCGAGGACCTGCGGGGCCAAGAGCGCTGAACTGCGGTACCTGACCCTTCCATGCCGAGCAGCGAGTAGCACAATTGCAGCCGCTGATGTCTCCGGCCTTCCACAGGACAAAGGGTGGCAAGAAAGGGTGCTAAGAGGTAGAAACACCGAGACCCTAGGAAACACCGCGTAGACACAGAGCTAACCAGGAGCGCAACTGAAACAGTGCGTCCCCAAGCCAAACATATCCCCCGTTCTCTTCCGTTTCCGGTCTGGCGTGTTCCCTTCCCTTTGCTCTCTGGTGGGTAACAGAGGCAGGTAACTGTGTTCCGGACTCGCCCGCGGGCCGGACGGAGCCAACTACCTCCAAGCCACCCCACCCATCCCGCGATTCTATTCCCAGAGACTGAGTCCTCGCCAGTGTTCAGCAAGGTTAGCTGGCCTAGGAGGATCCCAGACCGCCCCGATCGCCGAACAAGATAGTGGAGGGCGTGATCAGTTGTGCAAAAACTACAGATCAGTCTGGTTTTATGTTGTTGTTTTTTTTCTAAGACGGAGTCTCCCTCTGTAGCCCAGGCTAGAGCGCAGTGGCGCGATCTCAGCTCACTGCAACCTCCGCCTCTCAGGTTCAAGCAGTTCTCCTGCCTCAGCCTCCTTAGTAGCTGGGATTACAGGAGTGCGCCACCACCACGCCGGCTTTTTAAAAACTTTTTTTTTTTTTTTTGTACTTTTAGTAGAGATGGGGTTTCACCATGTTGCATGGCTAGTCTCGAACTCCTGACCTCATGATCCGCCTGCCTAAGCCTCCCAAAGTGCTGGTATTACAGGAGTGAGCCACCACGTCCGGTCGATCAGTCTGTTCCTTAACAGACACTACTGTGCGTTGTTTGGAGGGAAAGGGTCTACAGGTTCATCACGTTCTCAAACCAAAGAGGTTTAAAAAAGTTACCATAGGACCTGCTGCCCGATGAAATAGCGTTTCTTTTCAGTCTTTATTCTTGATGTAGAGTCAGAATAACACAAGTTTCATTTTTCACGAGTGACTTTAGGCCGGGCGCGGTGGCTCATGCCTGTCATTTCAACACTTTGGAAGGCGAAGGAGAGTGAACCACCTGAGATCAAGAGTTCCGGACCAGCCTGGTCAACACGGTGAAACCCCGTCTCTACCAAAAATGCAAAAATTAGCCGGGCGCAGTGGCTCACACCTGTAAATCCAGCTACTCCGGAAGCTGAGGGTTGGACGGATCCCCCACGAGCGCGCGGATGGCTGCGAGTCCACGCTCCCGGGGAGATCCGCTGGCAGAGATGGGTGCAGGGAACCGGCTCGGCGGGAGCGTGGCAAAAGCTGACGCGCTCTGGCGAGTTCCCACTTAGGGAAGGAGAGTTTTAATTTGCCCTCTCTGCCATTTGGGGGAGCTGCGCGCTGCCCGACCAGCCCGCGATGTAGCGAGCCGGGCTCCTGCCGCTGCCCCCTTACACCCACTCAGGTAGATAGGAGACTACACTGGTCAGCCTTACCCCGCTCCTCCGTCTACTGCTGAGATCAGAAAGGCAGAAGCCGCGGGCAGCCCAGTAGTACATGGTACTCCCGGCTTAACCACACCTTGCATGGCTCCAAGGGCTGGCCAGGCTTATCCTGTCGCAGGTTCCCGCTAAGTGCAGGATTCAGATCTTACTGCGTCCGGAATTGGTGGGTTCTTGGTCTGACTGACTTCAAGAATGAAGCCGTGGACCCTCGCGCAGAGTGTTACAGTTCTTAAAGATAGTGTGTCTGAAGTTACGTTCCTCCTGATGTCTGGACGTGTTCAGAGTTTCTTTCTTCTGGTGGGTTTGTGGTTTCGCTGGCTTCAAGAGTGAACCTGCAAACCTTCACCATCAGTATTAACAGCTCTTAAAGCAGCGCATATGGAGTTGTTCATTCCTCCCAGTGGGTTTCTCGTCTTAGGCTGGGCTACAGGAGTGAAGCTGCAGACTTTTGCAGTGAGTCTTACAGCTCCACAGCTCATAAATGCAGTGCAAAACCACAGTGAACAGCAGCAAAATTTATCGCACAAAGCAAAACAACAAAGCTCCCACAACCTGGAGAGAAACCCCAACAAGTTGCCGCTGCTGGCTCCTGCAGCCTGCTTTTATTCCCTTATCTGACCCCACCCACATCCAGCTGATTGGCCCATTTTACAGAGCGCTGCTTGGTCCGTTTTGATATACTGCTGACTGGTGAGTTTACAATCCCTGAGCTAGACACAGAGCGCTGATTGGTGTATTTACAATCCTCTAGGTAGACATAGAGGTTCTTCAAGTCCCCGCTAGATTAGCTAGACACAGAGCACGGACTGGTGCATTTACAAACCTTGAGCTAGACACAGGGTGTTGATTGGTGCATCTACAATCCTTTAGCTAGACATAAACAAGTTCTCCAAGTCCCCACCAGATTAGCCAGATACAGAGTGCTGGTTGGTGCATATACAATCCTTCAGCTAGATATAAACGTTCTCGAAGTCCTCATTCGACTCAGGAGCTCAGCTGGCTTCCCCTAGTGGATCCCGCGCCAGGGCCGCCGAGGGAGCTGCCCGCCAGCCCCGAACTAACCGCGCGCCTGCACTCCTCAGCCCTCGGGCGGTCGATGGGTCGGACTGGGCGTCGCGGAGCACCGGGCAGCCCGCGTTGGGGAGACTCGGGGCGCGCGGGAGCCCACCGCAGGGGGCTGGGGCATAGAGGCCTGCAGGTCCCGAGCCCTGCCCCGCGGGGAGGCTGCTGAGGCCCGGCGAGAATTCGAAGGCGGCGCGGGCAGGCCGGCAGTGCTGGGGGACCCGGCGCTCCCTCCGCAGCTGCTGGCCTGGGTGCTAAGCCCCTCACTGCCCGGGGCCAGTGGCGCTGGCCGGCTGCTCTGAGTGCCGGCCCGCCGAGCTCGCGTCCACCCAGAACTCATGCTGGCCCGCAGCGCCAGGCGCAGCCCACGTTCCCGCCCGCGCCTCTCTCCACACCTCCCTGCAAGCAGAGGGAGCCGGCCTCGGCCGGTCCAGAGAGGGGCTCCCACAGTGCAGTGGCGGGCTGAAGGGCTCCTCAAGCGCCGCCAGAGTGGACGCCGAGGCCGCGAGGGCGGCTAGCACGTTGTCACCTCATTACTATGGTTCTTTTTAATAGGAGTTGTGGCCAGGCGCTGTGGCTCACGCCTGTAATCCCAGCACTTTGGGAGGCAGAGGCGGGCAGATCACGAAGTTAGGAGATTGAGACCGTCCTGGCTAACACGGTGAAACCCTGTCTCTACTAATAATACAAAGAATTAGCCGGGTGTGGTGGCGGGTGCCTGTAGTCCCAGCTACTTGGGAGGCTGAGGCAGGAGAATGGCGTGAACCAGGGAGGCAGAGCTGGTAGTGAGCCGAGATCTCGATGCCACTGCACTGCAGCCTGGGGGACAAAGCGAGACTCAGTTTAAAAAAAAAAAAAAAATAGGAGTTGCCTCTGTGCTATGTGGAGATCAGGGTGTTGTATTACTCTTGTTAATGGAGCTTGTGCTGTCGACCTGTGAGGTCTCAAAGTTAAGTTTTAATTTGATCATGAACATACGCAAAGCAAAGGCTTACGGATATTAAAGGATTATTTATATATTCTAATTTTCATCATAGTTTAAAAATAGTCATAGAATCTGTTACCAGTGAGGGACTTTAACAAGGAATTTGAAAAGGGAACCAATAAAATCATTGAATTTGGGTGCAGTCTTTAAAAATAAATTTGCAAAACATTCATTCTACACCTATTTTTATGAAAATAATTTTCCCCTAAGGTCAATAAACTCCTATTTGGAAACATAATTTTTATTAAATACCTGTGCAAGCCAGGCATGGTGGCTCAGGCTTTTAGTCACAGCACTTGAGGAGGCCAAGGTGGGCAGTTCACTTGAGGCCAGAAGTTGGAGACTAGCCTGGGCAACATGGTGAAACCTCGTCTCTGCTAAAAATACAAAAATTAGCCGGGCGTGGTGGTGCACGTCCGTAGTCCCAGCTACTCTGGAGGCTGAGGCAGGAGAATCACTTGAACCTGGGAGGCAGAGGTTGCAGTCAGCCAAGATCGTGCCACTGTACTCCAGCTTGGGCGACAGAGCAAGACAACGCCTCAAAGAAAAAAAAAGATAAAAAGATGCAAGAGAGAGACTTGGCTTTTACCTGTCCTTCATGAAAAAGGGAACCGTGACCCAGAAGAGATGTAGAGATGTGGGGGTTCCCAAACTTGGAAAGGCATGAGAATAAACCTGGCAGGAAACGTTGGCTAATGGGGCACATGGGAACCACTAGCCTAAAATTCCATAAAGGCATTCCAAAGTTTACATCAACATTCTCTCTGTCCTCGCAAAAATAATCAAGGTAGGGAGGTGAGCTTTTGTGATGCTGAAAACACAGCTTACTTTGAGCAGATCTTCCTAAGATCCACTCACGCTAACGGAACCTTTGTGACTGAATGCTATACACAGTACACTTGGGGATGCTTACTTTATTTGTAAAAAAACAAACTTTTTTTAAAAAATTGAAGTATACCTTTGTCAAAAGACAAAATTATGGTAATTTTAGTTTAATTTGTTTTAACTTATGATTATAGAATAGGGCAACATCTCCTTCTATAAAGTAGAATGAGTGTTCCACTGAGTTGAGCAGAGGGGTTTGGCTTTATAGGCACAAAAGGGCTGAAGAAAATAGAAACAGGGGACAAAAATCAGATTGGTCATTTCAAAGTAACCTTCCTTATAGGGTTAAAACAGAGGGGATTTCCTTGTCATGCTGGCTCAGGTAAACTAGGCCCCCTCTGAATGGTGCTGCAAGTCTCCTGCTTTTGGAAAACTGGCCCTGATTTCAAAGTTCAGTTTCATTACTTGGCACTTCTGGTTTGATTACTTCTGGTTTGATTACTTCTGGTTTCGTCTGGTGTACTGGGAGCTAGTACAGAAAGCTTGTCCAAAACTATGGCCCCCTACAAACTTTAGCATCTTCAATACGG